TTTTTTTATTTTTAAATAAATATTTATAAAATAAAAGAATCTTTACAGAATATTGATTATAAGCCAGGTCAAGTATCACGTGGTGTTTTTTTTCTTTCTTAATAATAACTAAGTTTTTGCTAGAAACAATTCTAACCTTTCTTTTTTTGATTAATAATCTGAGTCAGGTAAAGTATCACATTGCATTTTATTTTCTCTTTTACACAATAGTTCAATTATCTGCTGGATGTTGACTTGAGCCTTCTTATTTTTACATAAACATCTTAATTCTTTGCTGAATACAATTCTAACTTTTTGGATTAATATCTGAGTTAGGTCAAGTATCGCGTTGCATCTTTTTTTTTCTCTTTAACGCAAATAACTCAATTCTTCACAGGATATTACTCTAACTTTTATTTTTTTTATTTTTATATATATTAATTCTTGCTGGATATTGACTCTAACCTTTTTTTTATTTTTTATTTTTACAATATCTTAATTCTCACTAAATACAATTCTAACCTTTCTTCTGGACTAATAATTCGAGTCAGGTCAAGTATCGCGTTGCATCTTTTTTTTTCTCTTTTACTCAAATAGCCTCTTAATTCTTTGCTGGATATTGACTCTAACATTTTTTTTTAAATTTATATAAATATTTTAGTTCGTGCTAGATACTATCTTAACCTTTCTTCTGAACTAATAATTCGAACCAGGTCAAGTATCGCATTGTATTTTTTTTCTCTTTTACACAAATAACTTAATTCTTCATTAGATAACCTTTTTTCTTATTTTTTTTTTTTATATAAATATCTTAATTCTCGCTGGATACTATCTTAACCTTTCTTATGGACTAATAATTCGAACCAGATTAAGTATTGTGTTGCATTTTTTTTTCTCTTTTACTCAAATAACCTCTTAATTCTTCGCTAAATATTGACTCTAACATTTTTTTTAATTTTACATAAATATTTTAGTTCTTGCTGAATACAATCCTAACCTTTCTTCTGAACTAATAATTCGAATCAGGTCAAGTATTGTGTTGTATTTTTTTTTCTCTTTTACAAAATAACTTAATTCTTCGTTGAATATTGACTCTAACCTTTTTTCTTATTTTTTATTTTTACATAAATATCTTAATTTTTGCTAGATACTATCTTAACTTTTATTCTGGACTAATAATTCGAACCAGGTCAAGTATCGCATTGTATTTTTTTTTTTTTACACAAATAACTTAATTCTTTGCTGGATATTGACTTAAACCTTTTTTTTTTTTTTACATAAATATCTTAATTCTCACTAGATACTATCTTAACCTTTCTTCTGGACTAATAATTCGAACTAGATCAAGTATCATATTGTATTTTTTTTTTCTCTTTTATACAAATAACCTCTTAATTCTTCGCTGGATATTGACTCTAACATTTTTTTTAATTTTACATAAATATTTTAGTTTGTACTGTATACTATCTTAACCTTTCTTCTAGACTAATAATTCGAATCAGGTCAAGTATTGCATTGTATTTTTTTTTTCTCTTTTACACAAATAACTTAATTCTTCATTAGATATTGACTCTAACCTTTTTTTTTATTTTTTTTTTTTATATAAATATCTTAATTCTCGTTGGATACTATCTTAACCTTTCTTCTGGACAAATAATTTGAACCAGATCAATTATCACATTGCATTTTTTTTCTCTTTTACACAAATAACTTAATTCTTCGCTAGATATTAACTCTAACCTTTTTTTTTTTACATAAATA